GTGTGGGGAAACACGGGCCGTGTTGTTCTTATCAGAAGTTCAACACGGGCGCCCGTGTGCAGGAACACGACCCGTGTGCTGCGTGCGGGTCAGAATTTTAAAATTTTAATTTTATTAATTCTGTGGACCCCACCTGCTTCATAACTCTTCTTCTCCCTTATTCAACCCACTCTCCCATTTCTCATTTTTTTTCCCATGAAAACCTAACTTCCATCTTCAAAAACTCACTTTTCCACCATCACCCACTCACTTAAACACCATTGTGCATTCATTAAAGTTGCTCTACTCTCCATCCTCTACACCTTCTCCAGTTTAGTTTTTAATTTCGTGCGATTTTAATTTTCGAGTTTTTTTCTATTGTGGTGGTGTTTGTGTCTTGTTTTCATTTTTTTGCAGAGACCTTATCATGCCCCCTAAAAGAACAATCCAGCGCCACACCAGGCGAGATGATTTCGCGGAATCCTCTCAACTAAGGCAGAAGCCCCGTCGCGCTCCTAGTCGCGCCGCCGGTAGAGGTAGGACTCCGGATGAGAATGCCCATGACATTATCTTCACTAAACCTGAGCGCGCCGCCGGTAGAGGTAGGACTCCGGATGAGAATGCCCATGACATTATCTTCACTAAACCTGAGCACAAAGAGAGGTATGATGTTTTAATTCAGCGGAGATTACTCCCTACCCGCTATATCTGTGCTGAAACACTTAATAAGTTAGGCCTTAAAGATGAGGTATACCGTATGTTTCACAACATTGGGATGCTGCCATTTATGTTATTTGAGGCACCAACTTTTGAAGGCCTAACTCTTGAATTTTTGAGCACCGTGGAATTTAAATTGAGACACAGGTGGAATGGCTCCGAATTCGAGTATTATGGTGATCTCGAATTTTTTATGTTTGGTCACAAGCATACATTGTCTGTGGAAGAGGTTGGGGCGGCCCTTAAACTACCATCCTCTGGACCGGGAGCCCCACCCGAGACTTTTCCTGCTGCTGAATTTTGGGAGGGAATCACAGGTACCGCTGGTTACAACCCTAGTAGGGCCAAAGCCACGGGCATTCATAATCCTTGTTTCCGATATGCACAGAAAGGCCTAGCCTATACTTTATTTGGGCGGGGAGATAGCACGGGGGTATGTGCGAAGAGAGAGCTCTTTCTGTTACATAATATGATTGATGTAGGACGAGTGAATATAGCGGCTTTTGCTGCTAACCACCTGAAACAAGTTGGGCATGCTTCCACTGGGGAGATATCGGTGGGTGGGATGATCACTCAACTGGCTGATCACTTGAACTATAGTCAGCTTTTGATAGAGGAACCCTCGATACCGGGTAAAAAGATTGACATGACAACTCTTGTCAATCAAAGGATGATTGTGGTTCAGCCAGGGTACTACTCCCTGATTTGTCATGAGCAACATATTATGGCACTACGCGCACCCAATTGTATTTCTGTTGCAAATCCTGCTAACTGGTTATATGTAGCTACATGTACATCTATGGGGCAAAGCCCCCCACATGCTCATAATTTTGCAGGTGACGAAATGGAGGATGACACTCCAGATTCGGACCACCCTGTCCCACCTCCTCAGCAGTGCGGCCAACAATATGCTGGGTCGTCCTCCATGACTCCAGATCAATGGGGGTGGGTACAAACAGAGATTACTGCTCTCCGTACCGAGCAATCCAGACAAAGTGTTGAGCTGTTTCGACAAGGAACTGTGGTGGACGATGTCCAGGATATGATGCGACGTCTTATGTTGCACTTTCCACAGGATCCTCCTCCTCCACCGCAGTATCAGTAAGCCAGGTAATCTCCGTCACATGTGAATTAAAACATTGAGGCCAATGTTTGGTTCAGGTGTGGGGGAGGTTCTATTTTATTTTATTGCTTTGCTTTGTGTTTTTGAATTCATAGTTTAGTTTGTTTGGTTTGTTTGTACTACTTTTGTTTTTTTTTTAAAAAGTGGTTTTGTTCAAGTTTGTATGGTGCAGTGCTGTCATGGTGTTACCAGGTGATTGATAGAAATCGGAGGGGAGCAAACAAATAGCTAGTGGTTGAACAACACACCCCATACTTGATCTTCGCAGGCACCACGGAAGTTGACACAATTAAGAGGAGAAGGTAGGACGCAAAGCATCAACACGGAACCAAGAGAGTAGTATGGTATATTTCAGATGAAAGGAAACCGCATGACACCAAGAGCACCTCGAAGCATGTAAGCTTAACCTACCCGGTGAGATTTCAGAGCCAAATTCATAAGTCCACATGAGAGTTCAGTCAGGTATGGCACTATTCACTTTGATTTTGCGTATGTTCTCATAACACAAGCACACTACGAAAGCACACACTGAGGCAATTTTCTTTCTGTAGCCCCGAGCCTTTCTAACCATCCTGTATGCATTATGTCCATAGTCAACCCCCTTTGAGCCGTAATTTTCGTTTTGTTCATTGTTGTTATTTTTGTTACCACCCACATATTCACTATTCATATCATCGCTCGGCATTAATGTTATTCTCTTGAAATACACGAAAGAATCTAAGTGTGGGGTTGTGAACCATTGAGAAAGGGGCAAGAAAAAAAAAATTGTGAAAATCCAAAGAGAAAGTTTGAAAAACAAAACGAAGAAAAATTCCGCAACACTTGCCCACTTGTCCGAAAGACCATATGAATGACTCTAAAAAGCTAAAAACAAGATGTCGAAGGTCTTAACCCCATTCTTACGATTCAAACCACAAAGAGTAGATATGTGAAACCAACATGAATGCCGAGCACCAAAACCCTTTGTTATCCAATTCCTTGTTTACCCCACCGAACCCAAGCCATGTTTCAACCCAAAGACCTCTTGAATGTGTGTGTAATCTTTGTGTGTAGTGATTCGAGAATGTTTCCAAAGTTAAAAGTAATGTGCATGCCTTGGTACTGTGAGTGTAAACACTTTAACCCGGAGAGATTTTGAGACTGTGAAAAAGCTTGCAGGTGAACAAGTGCTCGGAAGTGATAAGTGAAGGTGTTTTGCGAAGAACCTGATTGTGTTGTGAAGAAAAAGAATCTCGTCGGTGACCTTTGTTTCGTCTCGATGCATCACTTGAGGACAAGCAATGAGATAAGTGTGGGGTTGTGATCGGTCACCATTTCTAGTAAGTTTCGCACCTTTTTCCGACAAGAACTCATAGTCTTGGTAACACTAAGTGGCATTTGCATGTGTTTTAAAGTAAGTTTTCTTATTTTCGTTTGTGTGAAGTTGTCGCATATTTTTACTTTATGAGTGTTACAAAAAGTGTCTTTTTATGCGCTGGTTGGTAGTGTTGTTGTCCAGGTGATGCAATGGAAAGATAGGAACTTGTGGCGCGCACGAGTGGATAAAAGAAGCCGGGAAAAGCTGAGTTCAGAGGTCAACACGGGCACCCGTGTGGAGCAACACGGCCCGTGTTGAAATGTGGCTGGAAAAGCAAGTTTGAACCTGAAACAGAGAATTCACACGGGCACCCGTGTCCACAGACACGGCCCGTGTGAAAAAGTGCCTAGAAATGTGTTATTTTTGCCAAGACAGAAGATCAACACGGGCACCCGTGTGCAGCAACACGGCCCGTGTTGATGAGCGCGTGCTGAATATTTGTTTTCAGGTTTTCTCACTCAAAGGGAATCATTAAGGGTATTTTTGGCATAGGATTTCAACCTGAATGGGAGGAGGATATAAAAACAACTTTAGAACAAGAAGAGAGGACTTTTGACTTTTTGAGATCATAAGATAGAATTGCAGAGAAGAAAAGAGGACGGAAACGAGGTTTTGGAAGACGAAGAGATTCAACGGTGGACACCATTGAAGATCCGAGTTCTCCCAATTATTTGTAATGTCTAAACTTTTACACTTGTGTTTCTTGAATCATTATGAGCTTGTCATATTTCTTAAACACTTAGTAAAATTCTAAGTATTTAGAAATTTGACTTTTCCAAAGTAACTTTTGACTTTTGAATTTCTTGATGAAACAAACTTCATATTTCAACATGTCTTGATGAAATATGATTCTTGAAATTTGATTTTGATTCAAAAGTCAAAGTTTGACTTTTCAGTGTGTAAATGACCATTTTGTCCTTGTGAGTGATTTTCTTGAAAAACTTGTAGTTCAAGGCTTGGAAGCAGACTTGAGGATCCAGGGTGATTCTTTGAGAAATGAGAGGGCAAATTTTAGAGTGCAACAGATAGGATAAAAAGTGGCGATAATATATGGTAGGGAATACATCATTGTGTTGTCTATCTTTGCTTCAGTGTATAATGTGTCCAAAAAATTTGAATCGAGTTTATCTTTTATAATTGTTGGGTACATAATACAACTTGATTTTGTTTAACTATTGGTATTTTTATGGCGGTTTAAGTCTAAGTTGTATGTTATCTATTGAACTTTTTTAATGCTAATATAGTAAGAGAATCTTATAGAGGTGACAGTATATGATGACACCACATCACATGTGAAGTGCTGCAGAGTATATGAGGACACGACATGTGAATTTTGATAGTAACATAAAACAAAGCAAGAACTTAGTAGTAGTACAAAAGTCTCGAAAGAGTTATGGCATGGTGACAACTTCTTGATGATGGGTAGATAAGAAACAATGGAAGCATTGAAAATAATGTACCAAACAGATATGAGGCATACTTTCAATTGGATGAGCGCTTACCTGTTGAAATGAAGAAAAATGCAGATTTTGTCCTCGCTCGCAAGGTGTTCGATGAAATGTCCCAACACTCTTCTTTTTAATAATTCAATAATTTTGACTTGGTTTTCACTTGTACTCATCAACATTTTAATAATTCAGCAATTTTGATTCTGAGTATCTGTGATTATTATTTTGAAGGTATGTCGATGCTATTCTGACCATTCCTAAAGGAACTCTGTTTCCCATATGCAGAATGAACTTGGTTTTCGATCGGGAGCTCATTGGACCAGCAATGCACTTCAATCTCATGGTTGATGGTTAGCCTATTAGACGCTGCGACGACATGCGGGCTGGCTGGTGTATCAAGGTTTGATATATGATTCAGAAAATCGGTCTTTTGATTCAACATTTTGAGCTCATGCTTTCTGACGTAGACGAAGATGGTGATTTTTCTGATCTGTTTGATATTGCTAGAACATAGCATGCTTCTATTAATTGACTGAAACGCTGGAGAGAACGTTTTCTGTTCTTTATTGCACTTGTAGACTTTCTTTATACTATATTAATTTCAATTCAATAATACAATTTCTTTCATTTTAATTGTTATTGCTATTATGATTTTGGCAGATATGGGACGTTCCATTTGATTTTAATATGGTTATATTCACCTAGCAAATGGACTTCAATTTAAATTGGACAATTATGAACTTTAAGGCTACCCATGATATCAAGAAAATAGCTTAAGATTAATGTTACTATTCTTTATGACATTACATAAGTATGTGTAACAACATCCATTGACCTAAAAAGCTATAACGTGTGTTGTGAAAATCTATTACTCAAGGGAGGTACTCTTGACAAATTCTGTGAATACCAAAGCAACTAATTAGTCCGATTCACATTTGTGGTAATTTAGGCTACTGATTATTAGATTTGGATTTTTTATTATGTTTAATTTGTGAGTAATATATTCTTCTTACTGTCTGATATTTTGATACAAATTCACTAAGAAATTCTATGGTTTATTCTTTAAAAGAAGTGATAGTATATGTCAGACTTTTTTCATGTTACTGCCTGAATGAATTTGTAGATGTTGTTAAGTGTGAACTAGAGGTCATATTATTGTCTAAACTGAACTATTTTCATGTTACTGCAAGCAGAATAATGACCTGCATTATAGTGTAGCATCCTAGATTGTTATTTCCTAAAAGATTCAAGAATTCTCAGCCATATATATTTGCTTTATATAGTGACCTGCATGTGATAGTAAATAGATTAATAGTTCATTATTTCATTTTCACATGCATCTTATTCGAAGTATTCATGATAAGATCCTCGGAATAATAATAATAATAAGAAGTGATTTAAACACTAAATCCATGATTTCCCTTTTTTTCAGCTTCCGAGTTCGTCGATGTCATCGCTTTCGCGCCCTTCTGGTTTGTATCCATATCTTACTACAATGAATAATTTATAGGGTTCTAATTCTTAAACCTAAAAAAAGGTTTCATTTTGATTTGTGTTTTTATGGTTTAATTTTCAGAGCCTCCTGATGTTGGAAATTGGTTCTCAAGCTATGAATATCAATCTCCCAATCTGGATTCCAATTTCACTATTGAAGAATCATCTTTTGGAAAACTCAAACCCCCGCATTTAGATGAAGAACATGAGTAAGATAACTCAAGACGAAGAGAAGCTAGTGCAATGTAATGAAACTTGTGTTAAAGATGATAATAATAATGAAGATCCGTGGTTGGCCAAGGTGAATATCTTACTCATCTTATTTATGTGATTATCCAAACTTTATTGATAGTAGTAAGACTCTTTCTTTATTTTGATGCAGGTGGGAACGTTGGTGGAGGCACAATCAGCTTGTTTGAATTTACTTGGTGTGAAGGGTGCTATGCCTAGTAAAGAATCACCAGGAGCAAATTCAAGGCAATTGGCAACAATAGTAGGTTATTTTTATGTTATGATTTTTCTCGTCTGCATACCTGATAGGGTTAATTGGCATTACTGAAGGAAAACACTGAATCGAAACCCAGTATACTACCCTCCATATATGTAAGACCTAGTAAAATATTAACTCTTTTTATTAATTATTATTAATAATTAATTTTTTTTTTTATAATTATTTAGTGTAAAAATTAATGGTATGAAAATTTTCTTATTTGGAATTGTAATGCAGGCTTTTGAAGGATACTCTAACAGGACTAATTCCCTCTGATTATAGTCTCATTATATATATATATATATATATATATTCTAAATTTTGAAATATATTAGTTGCGGTTTTTGTTTCCTGTGGTTTTACCTGCGGATTTTGGTTCCTGCGGTTTTACCTGCGGATTTTGGTTCCTGCGGTTTTACCTGCGGATTTTGGTTCCTGCAGGTTTACCTTCAAATTTACATTACCACGAAAGTTTCAGCCGGGGACACGAAACCGCAGGAAAAACCGCATGAATGTTTCCTGTGGATTTTAGGCTTATATCCGCAGAAAAATAAAGTATTTCTAGTAGTGTAAGTCAAGTCAAACATAGCATTACATTATATGATTTGAGCATGGAAAAGGGGTTCGGTTTCGTGCAATATTATTGGTTACTTTCATAGAAATTTTGGTGGAATGTGTAAGGAAGCTTACTTGAAAGGAGATTATAGAAAATTATGTACTCGTCAAAAAAGAATAAGCGTGTGTTGTATTTTTCTAAGGATATAGGATACTTAGAGGTTTTAGTAGGTTTATAACAGTTAGGATTTATCCGCGGCGACGACATACTCTGCATAGTGGTGTTTACGACATTTATGGTGGTACGAGAGAGTAAACTCACGTGAGCTGAGTGACTTTGTGTATAAGCATAGGCTTGGGTAAAATGTGATCTATCTATCTCCTGTTAGGGGAGTAGTATTTATAGAGGCCCTTGAGTTTAGGTTTAACAAACCCTAAGAAGTGGTAACCGCTCCCCTTGAATGGGGAAGATTGCTGACCACATACTTTCAAGGGAGTCATGGTATGACTCGTTCTTGTATGACTAGTGGGGAGATCACAATATTATACACATCATCGGTACTAAAGGCGAGATCCCATGCTCCATAAGGGTAGTGCCCGAGCGATGCCTTATTAGGAGAGGACCCAAGCGTCGTTCCTATTTGGGAATCTCACAAATATAACACACTACACAGTCCCTCAAGCAAGATGGCTTGTAAGAGCGAAGTGTTTTAAGACTTATTCATATTTTGTTTCGTGGTATGGGGTGAGTATTTTAATAGGAGGCACGTTCCTTGTCTTTGGGCGTGATTCTTTCGAATGAGAAGTGAGTCCCTCTGCTTGGGGGAGAGTCTCTTAGTTGAAGATAACCTTTTAAATGGGAGGTGAGTCCCCCAGCTTGGGGGTGAGTTGCTTAACTAGAGGTGACCTTTTGAATGAAAGGCGAGTCCCTCCGCTTGGGGCGAGTTCCTCAACTGAATGTAGTATTTTAAATGGGAGGCGCGTCCCCAGCTTGAGGGTGAGTATCTATCTATGGTCAGATGCTTCCTGGATAGTCTGGCGTTAGTGGGATATGTCAAGTTTCTTTTGATTGAAATTTGAGAAGTCAAAACGTCAATCAATTATGAAAGCTTGAGTGCTTAGTGGAGAAATAACGTGGGTAGCATTTAATGCATATCATGATGACCTTCTTAGAAAAGCAATCTAGCCTCCTTTTCTTACACATGTTTTTCACATGTAAGATCTTTTCCACTCCTCGCGGCAGTTATCCCATAGGGGGATATATTGCTTGTGCTATTAGATTTCTAATAAGTGATTGATACACTGTCTTGAAAAATATTTTTCTCTTCTCCTTCTTTTCTACTTTTTCCCTCTTATAAAAGTACACAGACCTAAGGCAATTTTGAAGAAGGAAAGAAGAGAAGGGTGAGAAATCCGTTCCTTTTTCTGGGGCACAAACACTGATATCCTTACTTCTACATCTGAAGTAAAAATGGGTAAGAAGAACATCAAGTGTATTCATTCTTGAGATATTGCGTCCTTGCACTCTGATTTTGGCATGGTCAACAGGTTTCGTAGGGGCATTACGTTTCCCAGCACAAGACGTGAGAATGATGTGATATTGGAACCATGTTTAGAAATAGAGAGGGCCAATATGGACACCTTTGGCGAGCCATCTGCTCCTTATTTTTTATCTCCATCTATCCATTATTAACGAGTTGGGAGTCTTGGTCCCTTTTACTTCTTTTGAGTTCAACTGTCAATGTACCCCTCCCAGATCACTCCTAACATGAAGTATGCTTAGGTCTTTCCAGATAATCTATTGTAACCTGGGCGTCCCTCCCACTGTTTAGGCGTTCCTCTCTTTCTCTACCACATATTTTCTTCCTAATAATGTATGGGTAACGTTACGTTCCCTTCTAGGCAGGTGCTTATTAAAATCCTATGTGAACCCTTATGAGGATTAGACAAATAAGTTTGTGCGAGTAAATGGGCGAGACGATGCCACTTCGGAGACCGCATGGGTGATGAGCGCCCCATTCTTTCCTCTATCATGGACGCCAGATCCTCAACTTATCAAAGGGGTGGGTTCAAGCTTTCTTTCCACCATTGACTAATAGATGATTTCGATTTTGAAATGGTTTCGAATCCTATACTCTTGTACTCTAATTACTCGGGACTGCGAAGACAGTGATGGGGTAAAGGAGTACCTGGGTAAGCTTTATGGTATGAAAGAATACTTTTTTATTTGATCCCCTGTTTATTATCTTATAAGTGTTAATAGTGTTTCCTCTCCCTCTGCAGAGAATATGACTGGAACTTCTCTTGATAAGAAGAGAGAACATTTGGTCCGAATGTAAGATTGTTAGTATATAGCATAACTTCTTTTTCCTTTTCTATTAATTGCCACATCAGCTTAGTGTATTAGATAAGCTATATATATAAACATCTCTTGTAATCTTATTTACCCAATAAAGATTTGACAGTTGGCTTATAACAGATTTCTGTTATGCTGTAAATTGCTTTCCTAACTGTTTCATCTTCATGGAGATTCATGGTAGTTGTGCTACCATTAACATGGTATCAGAGCTCTCAAAGCTCTGGTAACCATCGTTGAAATAGCATCCTTTTCGATTGCCTCATTGTGGTTCGTTTCCTCTGTTCTTGTTTAGATTGCTTCACCGATTTCATCTCCTTCTTTTTCTCTTGATTGAATATCGGTTTGATTTCTTGCAATCTGTTTTACTGTTTCTTCGCAATCGTCTTTCTGCTTGTTTACTCCATTGATGGCTTACCAAAGTTTCACAGATTTTTCCACGAATTCATCAAACCCTTATTACTTACATCCAAATGAAAATCCAGCCTTAGTTCTTGTTACCCCTGTTCTTGACGACAAGAATTATCATACTTGGGCTAGGTCAATGAACATTGCACTGATTTCCAAGAACAAGGAGAAATTTATTGATGGTACTCTTCCCAAACCACCAGTATCAGATGTGCTTTATGCTCCTTGGATTCGATGCAATACAATGGTTTTGGCTTGGATTCACCGTTCCATTTCTGATTCTATTGCTAGGTCGATTTTGTGGATTGAGACTGCAGTAGATGTTTGGAAAAATCTGAAGATCCGGTTTTCACACAGCGACATATTCCGCATTTCTGATATACAAGAGGATTTGTACAAACTCCGCCAAGGTAATCTTGATGTATCAAATTACTTTACACAAATGAAAGTTCGGTGGGATGAACTAGAAGCATATAGGCCAATCACTGCTTGTTCTTGTGCTATACCTTGTTCATGTGGAGCGCTTGCTTCAATTCGAACGTATAGGGAACAAGATTATGTTATACGTTTTCTTAAGGGATTGAGTGAGAAATTTATGCAGTCCAAGACTCAAATCATGATGATGCAACCATTACCTGATATAGAGAAAGCCTTTTCTTTTGTTATTCAACAAGAAAGAGAACTCAATAGCTCTCAATCTGTTATCTCAAATAGCAACATTACTGAAGAATCCACAGTTTTGCACATTAATTCTTCTTCTGGCAACAATTCCAACAAAAACAGCAACACCTACTTCAAAGGCAAAAATGGTGGAAATGGAACTTCAAAAGGCCATAGCAGAGTGTGTACTCATTGTGGGAGGACTAATCACACTGTTGAAACATGCTTCACTAAACATGGATATCCACCAGGTTTTAGAGGTAAAGGCAAAGCTTTTACTCAAGCTACTCACTCTCAATCAGTTGCTTCTGTTGAAACAGGCCAGGTTACACCACAACAGCATTCAGCTCAGTCCATGGTTGGCTTTACTCAGGAGCAATATCAAAGCATTCTGGAATTAATCCAACAGTCCAAGCTCACCTCACAAGCCAATTCCATCTCTACCTCACCTTTTATCTTGAACACTCACTCTCATCCTGAAAATGGTAAGAATTCCCAACTTTGGATTCTAGACACTGGTGCCACTGATCACATAGCCTTTGATTTGTCCATTTTTATATCTCACAGCACAATTGTTCCTATTCATGTTAGTTTGCCTAATGGATCTCATGTCACTGCATCTATATCTGGCAGTATTACTTTATCACCAAATCTTGTTCTTCATAATGTTTTATACATTCCTTCTTTTCATGTCAACTTAATCTCAATAGCCAAACTTGTCCATACAAATAATTGTGTTGTTCACTTCACTAATGATTCATGCAAAATTCTGCAGAATCAGTCCATGGAAGTGATTGGTACAGCTAGACTCCAGAGAGGACTATATGTTCTTCATTCTTCATATGATCAGCATGCTTGTAATAGTTCTATGAATAATGATTCTTTTCTTTGGCACTTAAGATTAGGCCATATATCCAACATAGGATTACACAATGTATCCAAAGTTTTTCCTTTCATTCCTTCAAAATGTAATACTGATACTTTTCCTTGTGATCCTTGCCATTTTAGTAAACAGAAGAAACTTCCCTTTTCAAATAGTATTGCAAATTCTAGTTTCCCTTTTGAAATTTTACATGCTGATATATGGGGCCCTTTCTCTACCATTTCCATGCTTGGTCATAGATATTTTCTAACCCTTGTTGATGATTACAGTAGGTATACATGGGTTATTTTTTTGAAAACTAAAGATCAAACTAAGCAAAGTGTGTTACAGTTCTTAGCATACATTGAAAACCATTTCCACACATCATTGAAATATTTCAGATCTGATAATGGGACTGAGTTTCTCCCTTTATCT